TAAAAAAAAAAAAAAAAAAAAGAAAAAACCTTTTTTCTAATTTTAACTTAGAATTTTCTTTAATATGAATGGGTCTAATTAGGAGTCATCTCAATCACATCTTTTAATTAGGAGTGTACATGGGTTGAGTCGAGTTGGGTTGAGGAAATTTTTAGATCAAAGATGATTGGATTGGGAACTCAACCCAACCCGAAATATTTTATAACCTAATCTTCTACCTTCGAGTTGGGGTTGGATTGTTAAAAAAAAAAAGCAAATTAATTCTTATTTAGTATAATTTTAAATAAAATATATTAAAAATTCACAAACACACTCAAATCAATTTATAATAATTCAAACAAACAAATTCTTCATCAACATCCTAACATAGTACAACATTGACACAGAATTAAAGACAACTAAACAACGTCCTTCAGCAATTGATTACTCTAAAAGTATTTAAAAGTAACGAAAATATAATGATAGATGTTGAAATTCAAAAACAATAAAAAATAATTAGTTTAACGAAAAAAAATTATTATAAAAATATTTTATTTATTGGTAGACCAATGATTATACAAGTTGCTTTAATGTATATTATAAGATTTTGGTTTGTTCGGGTCAATCCAAAATTCAAATCGAATCTATCCGGTTTCAGAAAATTAACTCAACTCATCTCTTATAATTCGAGTTAAGTTTGTTCGAGTTGTCTGATTCAATATACCTTTCTACTTTTATTAACAATTTTGAAATTCGAAAAAAGACTAATAGGAAGAAGTCTTTCATGAAATTAATACGTGAAAGTTACATTGGATGTGGCAAGAAAATTCAATTATCATTTTCTTAGGAACGACAAGGACAGAAAATTCGATCATTCCTAGGAATGAATGTCCATGTAATTCCTAGGAATCTGCTAAACATATTTATGGTTCCATATTCTCAAAACTAGTTCCTAAGTCTTCTCTATATGCCACATAACACAATAACTTTGGAGGGTTGTGCATTTTGAGCTCCCAAACTTCGATAAAATACTTATAAGCTAATTTTACGTAGGTTTCAACCTTACGTTTACGGAACAAATATAACGTTGATTTGTCTACACCTGTTTCGTGTCTAGGTATCTAGTTGTATAGTTAATAGACTTGCAAGAAGGTTTGTGCACTAATGTAGTGATGCGCTCCATACGCCTCAATGCTTATGTTAATGCTTAGACTAAACTAGTGTTGAGTTTAGTGAACGAGTCTCTTCTATTTCCTTGATGTCTTATTGCCAAAGTCATAATTGACATGGTAGAATAAATCGAAGGACGGAGTAATGTGTACCTTACCTCGATTGGTACCGTGTTCAATAGTTCACTTAGTTTCGACTCCTTGATTTAGTCTTGTCAGAGGCTGCATTGGGGGTTAAGTCGCCTAGTTTGCAATTGTTCGTGCAAGAATCAAACAACGCTTCAATACTCGAGACACGATTTAGTCAAACCGTTCAAATGAACCTAAAATGCTTGCAAAATAAACACAACCAATTAGTGCCCATGCCTTTTTACAAAAATATTTAATTCCTAGTCAAATTCCAAAATCAAAAATAAAATTTTAGTTCATTTTTTTAAATATTTTTAATAAGTAATAAAACAAAAAAAAAATACGGTTGAACATATGTAACTTTATTTTAAAGAACGGAAAATTAAATTAAAAATAATTATCAAACACGCATAGAATATTCAAAAGAAAATCAATGAATTTTAAAATTTGGTCTTGTAATATTCTTATTAAATTAGGTAAGGTTGACGTAATTTTTGACGTCATATTCTGAGCTGTACGCATGACTTTTGATAGGTGGAACGTGGAAGATAAGAAAACCAGTTAATATCTAAACATTTATTATTACTTATTATTATATTTATTTACTAAGAGTACATAAAATTTATTTAGTGCAAGGACATTCCGGGTTAGACAAACACCGGGTTGGAAGTCATTCTTTACATGTATATGATGTGATTCTCGTAACGTCGTGTTTTAATAGTGTCAAGGTCACTCCTTATATGTATATGATATAATTGTTATAGTATGTAGTGTCGTGTCCTAATATTGCAAGGTCATTCTAGACATATATGTATAATGGGATTATTGTAGGATGGTGTCCTTGTGGTTGCAAGGTCTCCCCAGCATGTATATAATATGTGATTCTTTTAGGGTCGGTGCTATAAATAATATAAATTACATAATATGGTATGCTCCACTGTGTTTGAGATTATATAAGAGCGTAATAGAATTAAGCTCGGAGGAACTATCATTGTGAACTCAAATATGGAGACAAGTTCATACGAGCCATTTGATGAGAATCCAAATATTGAGATAAGCTTAGGCGAGTTATTTAATATAAACTTGCATATTGAAATGAGCTCGGAGGAGCTAAATGATATAAACCCTATGACTAAGACAAGCTTAAATGAGCTAAACTATCCGAAACAATAGCAAGGCTACAAAATTTAAATAAGTTCAAGGATGTTGATATCGTAGAGATAAATTACTATTATAATAGTCAACTTAGTTCATAACTTATCGGATATTTTTATATTTATTCGGATTGAATAATCATGGAAGGTGTATTGCATGGGTTGAGAAATGTGGGAAGAGCCATCTGAATTTTGATTGATTAACATGAAATGAGAAACAAAGGGTCAAACAACTAAATCTGACTTGTGTTGTTGTTCCTTGAAAGGCGGCTGCTCTCCTGCAATCTTGGATCTGTACGTATACCGATTGGCCCAGAACAGATACTGCAAGAAATTCAGCCCACTCAGTATGCACATCAGCCAATAAAACCTCTCCAAATGATAATGATTTAAGCTTCTCCCATACAGCCATGGCGTCAGCCGACAAGCCTTCGTCACCCCATTGATTACGCTCACCAACACGGAGCTAAAGTAATACCCCATAGCCAACGACGCCCATGACAGCGCAGTGGCCAGAGATCGCATACTCATTGGCGCCTCTGTGAAGAAAAACTCCATCATACCTGCCAGCGAGAACAAATCCGCAGACCCCAAGAACAAGTACTGCAAAGCCACCCAAAGGAAAGAGATTGGCAGAGGCTCCGAAGAATCCAACATGTGGGTTTTCAAGGCCACGTTTTTTCTCTTCGTTTCCACCAATGCTGCCACCGCCATTGCCACTATAGACAGAACCAGCCCTGTTCCAATTCTCTGCAAGTGGGTTATCCCCATTTCGGATTTGGTTAGTTTTCTTGCTATTGGGACAATGGCGTGGTTGTAAGTTGGGGCGAGGATCATGATGAAGATGACTGGGAAAACAGGGAGGGAAGCAGGGGGGACTTTTAGGGAGCCGAGTTTGGTGTTCATGGTGGCTGCTTGTTGCACTGAGAATGTGGAGAGCTGAGCGAGGCAGCAGTTGAGCATTATGGTGGAGGCGAAAATGGGGAAGATTTTTAGCACCACCTTGGCTTCTTCTACCTGTTTGAGTGTGCACTTTAGTTCTGGATGGTTTGGGTTATTCATTGCTGCTCTGTTGAGGAACTCCAAGTTTTGCGTTGGAATTGGAGTAATTGGGGTCTGTTCATCAACGTCTCTGACACTGTCTGAAGAGACTGAACTTGTGGATATGCTTATCACAACGTTGTTAGAGCTCTTTGCCTTCCTATTGTTGAACGCAGCTGAAGCTAAAACCTGTTGGAAAAAGAAGTCAAACAATTCATAGCCCTTTCAAACCCACTCAAGTAATTAGCTAGAAGAGGTTAAGTACCTTAAAAATGGTTGTGATTGGGCTTCCTGCAGGAGTTTTGATTCTGTAAGTAGGCGAACCAAGCAAGAAAATGGGGATGGAAACCAGTATTGTAAGAGTAGAGATTCCAAAACCCCACTGCCAGCCTTTGTTATCTTCCATCCAAACCACCAAAGTAACAGCAATTAAAGCTCCACAGGAAAGGCAGAAGATGAAGTAATTGAAGAAAGCAGATCTTTTGTTTCTTCCTTCAAAAGTGGTCTCATCGAACTGCTCAGCGCCATGAGGAGGAAGCGACCCTTTGATCCCTCCAACTCCAAGCGCCACCAAGTAAAGCCCTGCAAATAACATCACCGCTTTCCCACCTCCAACTTTATGGCATGGACTCCCAAGTTGATTTGAAACGCAAGTTGGTGGCTTCAGATATGGTACATGAGCTTGGAGTGTGAGAATCAGCAGACCCTGCACGCCACATGTTTATACCACCTTCAACACATCATATTATACAGTTTTCTTTCCCAAAATGGAAATCCGCCCATTAACAAGACAAAAAAAAAAAACTGTACAGAACCAGATGTGGGACCAAAAACACATGAATGATTCACATATTTTCCTGTTCTCTTATGCCGTTTTGGATCCGTCGCTGAAATCTCAACCATTCGTGGAAAATGCTCCACTAATAAACTCTAGAATTTACGATATGGCTCACTGAAATACCAACTCAAAATCTTAAACTTGTAGCTTACGGTGAATCAAATCTTTTGTTCATATTCTTTTAACACTCGCTCATCGACCGTTCGATTCACATGTTTTACTTGTCATATATGAAAATGTTTTGTTTTATAATTGGTTTTCAAAGCAAAACATCTATGTCTGTGAATCGAGGAGCGGATGTACATATTCTTTGGACAGATGGGCATGCAGATGAAGCTTTGTTATGAAACAATATATTCAACGACCCATGTGCAATCATATTGTAAGAAACTCACCAAGGATTCTATTGCAGCACTTAATAAGAAGATAGAATAAGTGGTGAAGAAAGCATCAGCGAGAAAGCCACCAAGGAGAGCAAGGAGGAAAGCTGTGCCCATAAAATTGGTGACGATGTTGGCAGAACCAGAGGGAGAATAGTGCATGAACTTGGACAGATACAGAACAAGATTACTTGCATTGGCCAGGAATGCTAGATTCTCCAATACTTCAACAGCTGGTGTAATGCAGTTCATAAGATCGAATCAGCCACCATTAATGAGGACAATAAGAAGAAGAAGAAAAAGTAGTCACTAGCAACTTCATTTTCCTTTTAAATGTATTGACAATTTCATGAAAGTACAAAACTTTCTCATAAGAATCAAAAGCAATCTTCTTATATACTGACCCAATACAAAGGAGGCAGCCAGCATGCCCCCATGGCGTCCTTTTACAGCAGGTCTCTTCCTCCAATCGACATAGTCTTCTTCCCAAATGTTCAGCTCTGGAGTTTCTTCCTAGAAAATGAAGGATAAAGGGAGTTGAGTTATGGATAAAACAAAGCAAAATGCATACAACTTGAAGGAAATTAAATTAAACTGTGATCCCACCACATGTTTTTGAGCTTCTGATGGAGTCACAGTAATGGAAGACATTCTTTTTTCTTCAATTGGAAGGTACGGAAATGGACAGCTTTAGCTCTCAAATTTTAATGAACAGTTGATCCAGAACTCTCTATTCGAATTGGTTGTGAAGTAAAATGGGGTGGCTGTATTTATAGACTCACAACACGATGGTCCATCCAGAAAAGAAAAATCTAGACTCTTTCGAAAATGACAACTCCTTTCTTTCTTCCCCTGCCTTTTCACCACAAATCTACAAAGCTAGTGGTGCCAAATATCATATCAAAGACGAGGAAATGCTCATCGCCATCGGATTCTCGCTGCAGTTTGATGGTTCAACTTTTACAGTAGGGAGTAAAGATTAGTTAATGTAGACATACGACTGCCATTAATTCAGTTGAAATTGAAAAGCTATACATCACCGTCAGAACTGAAAGGGAAGTAACAATTCTGCCCATTTGGTAGGCCAAATTAGGTGATCACTTGCTTCTACTCCATACAAACCAGTGGTAGAATCAGCCATTCTCATTTATAATCCTTAAAACGAAATTCAAAAACATCTCACATCAATATGAAAAGTACGTTATTGGTATAGAAGCCATTAGAATAAGAATAGTGAATAGACATGTTGGAAAAGGAATAGGAATATGCTGAGTAAGAGATAGATAATGTTCAGGTGTTGAGAAAAAAATGGGAGAGGTTATTAGGGGCAACTAACCCTCTACATACTTCCACAAGAGTTAGGAATCGACTCCTTTTATGGTTTTGGTTGAGTTTCGTCCGAAAGATCTTATAAGATGATTATCCTCACTTATATACATTCATTCATCTGTGATGGTCAATTCTTCTTCATCGGAACATAATGTCATTCTTCCACAAACCGTATACATACTTCCACAAGAGTATGGAATCGACCTCTTTTAACATAAGCTCTCTTAGTTTTGATTTGAGTTTTTAATAATGAAGATGATTGTCCTCACTTATATACATTCATTCATCTATGTTGGCTATCGAGCACATCACTTTTAACACTCAAAGATTCTACCTATATGACTAAAGATTAAAAAAAAATATGCTATGATATGACTTTGGTTAGTAAAAACAACCCTCCTCACATATTTTCAATGGTATGATAATAACCACCTTTGAACGTAAACACTTACGATTTTGGTTTTTGTCTCCTTTCAAAGATAGCAGTAGATATAATATCCTGATCTTTCTCCATTCCACCAACGTTGGTCATATCCCTAATTCCACCAAAAAGATTAAGATGAGAACGAGGGAACAATGGGGATTGATTAGAGATGCAAATTGAATTGGAGGACCTACCTTTTTTTCGGGTGTAGAGGGCTCAGCACCCGCACCCAGGGGTCGGCAATGGAAAAGGGCAAAAACCCACTTCGGAATATCTTCAAACACAAAAAGGGCAAAGAGGCGGGGTCCATCGTTTTGCCGTCTTGTATCGGACTTCAATCCTTATCGATGGTTACTTTTCCTAAATGGTTGGGTCTTCAGATGGGGGTGGAAATGAGAGTGTAAGGATCCTTGCCTTTGATGGTTGCCGGGGGGCGTAGGTCATCTTTCTGAGGACAGGACACACACAAACAATGGACATTGTTGGCCCTCACGAACGTGGAATTTAATGTCTCCCACGCAACTCCATACTCAGTGGCCAATAATCCGCAGACCCAGAGGGAAATGGACCCCAACCTCAAGTTCTGGTACCTGTGAGTTTGTACGTGAAGATTCAATCAGCAGCAGATAAAAGGGCGGTGCACTTACCATTCCCAATCCCATTCCGCCATTCCCATGCAAATGCAACTTGGTAAGCCTTTCTTAATCCATATGGGTCGGTCGCACTCGTACAAGTTTCAAAGCTTAGTGCTTCGCCTTATCTGATCGTCTTTTACTCACATGGGCCTCTATGTTTATTGCAATATCAAGAACAAAGTGAGTTGGGTTTACTATTTCAACTCATCATTGCTCTAATAAAAATGCTACCAATACTTCTTATTTAATTTAAATAATTCAATAAATCTTATAAATTATTTTTGGTTGGAATTTAATTTTATAAAAATCTGTTAAATATAACATTGGAGTGATAACTTTTTTAAAATTTATTGAAAGTAGACGAACTAAATTTTAAAAAAAGTTTACGTTCGATTTTGTGGGAGTAACTTTTTTTTCTTCCGCTTTGAAAGTATAAACCAATACTAACACGAAAGAGATGGTCTCATATTTTATCATATTAATTTCTATTTTACCTTCTCAAAATTCATTCTCGAGAGAACTCCATTTTAAAATTTTTGCTCTCGTTGGGGCCCACCATGCCAAAAAGATAAAGGATTCTAGCCAATTAAAAGGATTTCTTTAAAGAACTCATCGATATAGCCTTGTTACTTCTAGATATGGGATGTCTTCTCACGAAGGGAGTTGTAGTGACTAGGTCCAAACCACTCTCTCTTGGACGAAATGCTAAAGGTATACCCAAAAATACATCTGCGAATGCTTAGTTGGGCAAATACATCCATAATGACTAGGATGTATATCTCAAAAACCTTAAATTGCTCGTTCTTAGTGGATTCTTACCTCTTAAAAAGCAAAGTTCGCCGATATAAGCCGGTTAAGGAGTAGTTTACATACTTTTATTCTTTTTAAATCGATGTTCAAATTTTCGTACCCGAGTTTTGTAAAAACGTAAGGAGAAGCAAGATTTTGTGCAGAGAACCCAAAATCAGAGGGAAGTGTCATGAATGTACTACTGAAACTTACATGTTCTTGTGTTGAGATTCTTAACACAAAGTGAATACAATATGCAGGCAGCAGCTGTTTCTTAACATGTTGCACAAACTGTGAACAAGACACCTCAAACCTCGAAGTAACTTACAGTTGGTCACGAATAATCCGAGTGAGACTCGGAGTAATCGCTCGGGTAGGGCGACATTACCTCTCGCTCTAGCAGCTGCAGAACTTGGTTCATTGTAGGCCGCATAGCCGGGTTGCCATTGGTGCACCTTGCTGCTATTTCAAGAATCACTTCTACAGTTTCGACATCTGCATTCTTGCACCTATTATCCACTATGTTCTCCAATTGGTCTTCTCCCCGGAGTGTGTTCAACTAATAGTCATGAATCATATTCCATTCAATGCGTTGTTTAAACATAGTAAAAAAAAACATGCAAGAAGTTGAGCTGTGTAGAGACTATTTGGCTTACCCAACCAACAACATTTAAGCCCCTTTTTGAGAAAAATGGATCACTGGGTCTCTTCCCTGTTACAAGCTCCAGCAACAGAACTCCAAAGCTATAAACATCAGACTTCTCAGTTCCTATGCCACTTTGCAAGTATTCTGCTCAAGAAAGTATTAAACACTACTGAGCTTAATCTTCTGAATCTAAGTTGAATCATTATTGTAGCTAATATCAAGAGGAAGTAAGGGGAATTGGACCTGGAGACAAATAACCAAATGTGCCAGCAACAACAGTTGTGACATGGGAATCCCCATCAACCGAAAGCTTTGCGAGACCAAAGTCGGATACATGCGCCTCTAAGTTCTTGTCGAGAAGAATGTTGCTGGATTTTATGTTGCAGTGCACAATCTTTGGACAGCAATCATGGTGCAAGTATGCCAGTCCTCGAGCGGAGCCGAGCGCTATGTTTAACCGAGCACTCCAATCCAAAGACCTTTCGGGTCCATATTCTGTAAATAATGAAAACACGAGTATGAAGAGTTGCATACTCTTGAGATATTACAACTTCAAAATTGGTGATATTGTCTATGAAAAATGATACCATGTAAGAAATCATCCAAGCTACCAGCTGCGAGATAGTCATATATAAGAAGCTTTGAAGAAGGGAGCCTGCAATAACCACGCAGTGTCACTAAATTTATGTGTTTAATGCTTCCCAAGATCTCCAATTCTCTTTCAATTACTTGATCTGAACCATCTTGACTCCTATCAATTTTCTTTACAGCAAACGCTTCACGATCATTCATGACCATCCGATACACGGTGCCGAGCCCTCCTGAGCCAACAATATTTGTTTCTTTAAGGGCCTCCAGCTTTTCTATGATCTCACACGTCGGGTACGGTAGATCACCATGGAATGTAATGAGCTTTGCACCTACATTGAATTGTGAAGGTTGTCAATTGCAACATGTGTTTGAAGAGGAATTCACTATGGGAATGTAACTCACTTGATTCGCGAGTATTTTGCTTCTTAACTTCCAAGTAACTCTTTGCAGTTCTTTCTTTCTTGGATACCAAACGAGTCCACATGAGTACAAGAAGTATGACCAACACGAACCCTGCTGTCGATATTGCACCAATTAACAGTCCTTTGATGTAATGAGAGGATCGTTTCACAGGAACTATAAAACAAAATGCAGAATCAGTCATTTAGTCATTCTATCGAAGCAAACAAGGTCAAGAGCTAAATAATAACGTCATTAAGGTGTAAAGAGATTGCCTGCAGCTTGATCACTTCCAGCATGTGGTAAAACAGCAGGAAACCCCAGTGAGGTCCGACACGGCTTGTTCACTTGCCGACCACAAAGATCTTGATTACCAAAGAACCTGGCACATCAAGGGATGAAACCATCTCAAGATAAAAGAAGATTTGAAGTTGAAACTAACAAAGAAACGACATGTTTCTCTTGATGTTGGCATCATCATGACACTACCAACTTGCAATGGGACAGTCATAGTTCTAAATTCTACCCATGATCATACCCAGGACCGGGCCATGATAGTTTACAAGAACTTACGAGTTATTCCCAAAGGTGCTTAGAACTCCAATATCTGGGATTTCTCCAAAGAAAAAGTTGGTAGACAAATTCCTATTATAAGTTATAACTTGTAAGAAACACAACAAAGGATATATTATCTTCAGTAATGTGAATTACAGGCATGAAAAGTCAACAAAAAATGTAGCTATAATGCTTACAACTTACAGATTGCGTAAGTTTGTGAGACGACCAATTGATGATGGTATACTTCCCTTAAGGGAATTGCTTGATAAATCACTACAATTAACCAGTGATAAGAACTGAGTGCCAGAGTTGTAATTGACATCATAAAAAGATGTTAATTAAGACATCACAGAGCCACAGAATCATCCAAGAAAGTGGGAGAAAGATGAAGACTCACAGTATGGTGAGGTAAGAAAGGTTTCCAATATTTGATGGAATCCCACCTTGGAGATAGTTAGCCCTCAGGTAGCTGAAGCAAAATGATGTATAATATCATGAATATCAATAATACTTGCAGGAAGCACATAAACAGAATAGGCAATAATTACTCACATGGCTCTAAGTTCAGAACAATTGGCAAGTTCATTGGGAATATATCCATGTAATCCGTTCTGGTGGAGAGCCCTGATTTCACATAAGAAAGCACAGAATCAAGTAATTAACATAGTAGAGAAAGAAGGTGGTTGTAGAGATGCTTACAGTCTCTGCAATCTACTAAGTTTACCAATGCTGGGAGATATAGTCCCTGCTAGTTGCATGAACGGTAGATTACTGGAAAACCCACAAACGAACATGGCCAAAGATTTCAAAACGAATGTTCAAAAGATGGGTATCAAGAAAATGAAGCTAAAGGGTTGTGAACTGTGAAGAACATACATTGAGCTAACACGAGAGTCCTGGGGATGGCAAGAAATGCCAGTCCATTTGCAGGGAGATTCATCTGAAGGGCTCCAATTAGCGAGGACGTTCTTAGTGTCATTCAAAGTAGTTTTGATTTCCAACAATGTCAAACCTGAGACACAAACAAAGTGAATCGACACCCAAAAGAAAAAATGAACAGAAATGAACAGAAATGCAAGAAACGTAGGGTTTACCATCTTCAGTGAGCGAAAAGGAGCAGTGGCTGAAAAGGGTTGCTGCTAAAATCGCGGAGAAGGCCCAGATGGAAAGACCCATTTCGGATTAATAGTTTGAAACCCCTTCCAGAAATCGAATCTAGGGATTAGGAATCTGTTGCTGTAGAAGAGAGTCACCGGAGCTCATTCATCTCAGGGAAAGAATCCGTTTCAAAAAATGGTTGAGAAGAAGGATTGAAAGCGAATAAGGTGAGAGGGTTTTATGTTCTGACAATATAGATGAGGAAGGAGGACAGATTTTTGAATGGGCATGGGGAATCGTGCAATAGCCGTTTGTCGTAAGCTGAAATTCAAAAAAAAGTCTTGAGATTCAAAATTCATCTCTCTCCACTGCTCCATAATCATTGGTAACCTCTTTTAGCCAACCCAGTTATTTGTTTCAAATTTTCCATTACAGGTATCAATTTAAATTATCTTTTCTCCAAGAAAAATGAAATTCATAATTTAAAAAAATGATTAAGGATAAGAAAATAAACACAATTTGAACATTTTTGTCCTTCGGCTCGAGGTTCAGCCCAGCCCAGCCCAACTCTTCCTCCCAAAACCCTTGTGGTCTTAGTCCCTGCAGCCCAATTTTCCATATAATGATATTATAAACAAATATTAACGCAAATTTTACATGAAACAACATATTTAACATCTAATTTAAACAAACAAATTAATCTATTTAGTAAACTTAAGTATATTGTCCTAAATTTGAAGGTTATAGATATTTTATTATATTTTTCAACGTTTCTACTTTGCCATGTGTTAAATAATAGTCTACAAGAAAGGAACGATATCATAGCATTGTAAAGACTTTGTAGTCCTGAAAAAGTAGTGAGCCGCTCAAATCCACCACGGGTAGATATTGTCCGTCAGTCTCATGATTTTAAACCGCTTCTATTAAGGAGAGGTTTTGACACCCTTATAAGAAATACTTCATTCCCCTCTTCCATCGATGTGAGATCCCACGGCTTTATCCATATTATTATCTCATTTTGATGTGCAGCTATTCCAACAGTTGCATAATAAATTTGTTTTCCAATTACGTGACAGCAACGTTTTCCTAAGGTGTGGGGGAGGATGACTTAGATATTTGTTCAAACAGAGATTAGGACCCAAATGGAATATTAAAAAGAAAACTCGTTATACTAATGCAATAGTTTTCTGTTTCAGAACCAAAACAGTTGCCATAATTTACAGTGAGATGGAATTGAGGGTTTTGTCACACTGTGTAAGCTTGCTGAATTGTGTCTATGTCCAGTCCTTTCATCCTCACCACTGATTCAACGTGGCCTTTCAGGGTGTGGAGCTCCCTCAACCTGAAACAAACACCCCAACAAGAAAACTCAGAAAGGAAGCACATTGATTGCACAAGCCAAGCACTTCCGTCCTAACAAATATATTACCTTGCAATTTCAGCTCTCCTTTTGGCTTCTTCAGCCATCTGATTGAGCTCGGTGAAGTGAGTTCGGTCGTGGAACTTCGCATCGGGTGTTTGCAATCCATGTAATGTTCTTTGTGCATGAGCCCATTGTAGCTCCCGTTGTTCCTTCCCGAAATCCTTTTGCCTCGTAAAGGCAATCTACATGCCAAGAAATGACTCGATCACGACACAGTTGATAGAAACATCTCTGTAACTCAGGAGAGAGAGAGAGAGAGAGAGAGAGAGAGAGAGATACCCTTTGTTCAATAACAAGATCCCAAGCTCTCCCACTCAAAGCATATCGTATGATGAATTTTATGATATCAAGTGGGATGTAAAAGATAATGTTGTACAGCCAGATAACACCAGCCCAACCCCATCCAATTCCTTCAATGGCAGCAAAGCTCCAGTTTGCATAAACCGCAATTAATGTAGCAATCTGTCCATGAGGAAGAGTCCCCGGATCAGTACAACACAGAACCTTGAGATAGATGATATAAAAACCTGTACTAAAGTTTAATGGCAGTCCACTGACCAGCTGCGCAACCAGAAAAGCTGCAACCAATAATAACCCAGGGCGTTCCACATATGACCAACCTCGCGAACGTGTAACAAATATGAGAGCCTGACTTATAGTGCTTACTTGCAGATACACTGCTGAGGCAAGTTTCCTAATGTCATCGTGAGCAGTTTTCTCGAGAGTTGCTACCCCAAACACTCGCTGAAAAATGAGCCAATCAGCGGAGCAATCTAATAAAAATAACCGACAAGAAAACACTACTTTTTGACAGCCAATAGAACTAAGAGATCATGAACAGATGCAACCGTCTTACTGGAAAGAAGTCTGTTTTATAGGCTGCCCAAAAGAAGATCACAGTCATCATTGCCAAGTAGCCACCAAGTATAATGCCAGTGGTAAAAATTTCACCCAGCTTCCAGCTATCAGGCAACGGAGATGGTCTCACTCTATCCTTCGATATCGTCATTATTGTACCTATTATGACAGTTTCAACAATTAATAAAAATAATCTTCTCAGTTGCCAAAGAAATAAGAACTTCAAACATTGCTCTGCAACAAGTCAATTACCTTTTAAGAAATTTGTATTTTAACCAGAAGCGGCAACAATTAATATTTATAGCCTTGAATGAAATTGATAATTTCACAAATCTTAACAAGAAGTAAAGTTGATTGGCAACTTGCAGTGTTTATTGCCTAAATATAAGTATAGACTCGCTCAGTGGCAAGTTCTATCGTGTATATACTACTAATGGCAATAAATTTTTGATAAAAAAAATAGTAGAAGTACAAACCATCATTGAGAATGGCAATGATGAGCACCATAAAAGGTGGGAAGTCAAATTTCCATACAAGAGCCAGCAACATGAAACCAAGCTGTGGACAACCAACATAAAAGATGAAAACAATTTAAGATCATGACATCAAATAATACTTGAATGAATGAATTAACAAAAAGAATATAGAGATGCCAGGAATTTGCATATAAAACAACCACCATTTACTTACCACTATACGAATAGTGATTGAAACTGCATATATCTGCACATACAGAAATTCAGTAAGTATATCATCACAATACAGCAAATACTTGCAAAATTTGTGGAAGTGTCGTTCGAAGAAGTAAAGTTGGAGCAATATCAATAATAATTTTCGAAGCGAGGATGGAGCACACCAAACCATGAGATATGAAATGATCTGCTTACAGTGTAATTTTTCATCCTCTGAAAGATTGCTCGGCTGGTCAAGACAGCACTAATGATAACACTCAGACCAGGCTCTGTGAGGACTATGTCTGAAGCACTACGAGCAGCATCAGTAGCATCGGCGACAGCTATGCCTATGTCAGCCTTTTTAAGGGCTGGAGCATCATTTACTCCATCCCCAGTCATCCCACAGATATGTTTCCTCGCCTGCAGGCGCTTTACAATCTCATATTTGTGCTCTGGATCAAACAGATCTCAGTCAATAAGAGCATTTGACTTAAAGAACTCTATATCCTAGAAAAGAAGGAAAACTCACTGGGAGATAGAAAATATACCAGGAAAAACACCAGCAAAGCCATCAGCTTTTTCTATCAGTTCATCAACTGGTAAAGCAGCAATTGACTCGTCCTTGTTCTGACCCAATAATGCAGATGAGGGATACATGTTGGTTCCCATCCCTAAGCGTCGTCCTGTTTCCTTTCCTATGGCCAACTGGTCACCTGAAAAGGAAAGAGGATCAAAGCAGTGGCAGAAGGTCAGAATCATTATATTGAGTACTTTCTTTACACTAACAGAAAATAAGTACCAGTAATCATCTTCACATTCACTCCAAGATTTAAGGCCCTCCTTATTGTCTCTGCACTGTCATGCCTTGGTGGGTCGAAAAGTGGCAGAAGGCCAATAAACTGCCATGGACCTCCGGCACTTTCCCTTCTACCATCTGGAACTTCCTGTGTATAAATGACAACAAAACCGGCAAAAAAATAATATTAATTACAAGGAACATTCATCGATTGAGATACTACATTATGTTGTTGATCACAATAATAAAGTAAAACATAGAAATGCATTACCTGGTATGCCACAGCAAGTGAGCGTAAACCTCGTTCTGCGAACCTTTCAATCACAGCATGAACTTTGCGCTCAATCTCCAACCTATTGTATGCAAGGTTCAGAATCTAGGATCATAATCAACAGACAAACAGTATTGTGAGTTAGTCTAATCATTTTTTTCATTTCAGGAGGAAAAACACATCAATACAACCTAAAATGGCAATACCTGCTCTGGTGCACCTTTGCTGACTTTATGCATTTTACCCTCATGATCTAAGTAAGTCAATGCAGTCCGCTTATCAGTAGGGTTAAATGGAAGGAAGTGTACTTCTTGAATACCAGCACGAGCCTTTTAGAAAGAAAAAAATAGATGAACATATTGTACTCAGTAGTTACATATAATATGAATTCCTGCAACAAAACATGTACAAGTCAGTGAAACCTCTTTTGGATCAGCAAGCATCCCAACAATAGCAGTATCAATAGCATCTTGGTTCTCTGTTCTTGATGCCCGGGCAGCCATTAGAACCACAGTATCCACATCCACTCCTTTAACAAAAACCTAACATTTACAAGTCAGATATTCCATTTAATAAGACTATCTTAATGCTAGTAGGTTAAAGGATATGCAAGTAAATAAGCTGAACAAAGCTACATTTCCTTACTGACCTCAACAAGATTTTTGTCAACAGTTAGCTTGTTTAATGTCAGTGTTCCAGTCTTGTCACTGCAAAGCACATCCATACCTGCCATCTCTTCGATGGCAGTCATCCTCTTTGTGATAGCACCCTACAAGTAATTATTACAATATCTGAATCATTCTTTTTTTTATAGCTGAAATGCACTCTGACAGGTAATCTTGGAATCCTAGCAAACCTGCTGAGATAACCTATGAGAGCCAATAGCCATTGTCACAGAGAGGACTGTGGGCATGGCAATTGGAATTCCTCCAATCAGAAGCACAAGAAGATTGTCAATTCCAGGACGATATTCCCGATCTTGAATTGGGTACATGACAATAATTTCTGTAATCATCCCCACAGCAATTGAACATATGCAGAAGTTACCTATTGCAGTTAAGACCTGCATGGCAGGAAAAGGGAAAAGGAAAATTGGGGTTGGTTTGGGTGTATTTTAAAAAAATTCTCAAAATACATTTTAAAATATAATACAAATCGTGTTATACTGTATAAAAAAAATACTGGTCAGTTCCCTGTTGTTTATGTTCTCAATCCTACCAAATAAGCTTTCAACATAAAAAGATAATGAGACTGCGTTGAATTTTTGTTCTAAAGATGACTTCTCACCGTACGCTCATTCAATAATAAAAAAATCGATGTAGAATATAATTTACCAA